GGAGGGGGAAGGAAGAGGGGAGAGAAGGAGGAGGTGGGTGAAATAGGGGAGGAGGGACGGCCAAAGAATCTTTAAGAGCAGCCCACGCTGATGGGCACGATCTCCACCCACTTGTTGCGCCGCACCTGGTGGCGTGTGGGTGGGAGGGGGAAGGAAGAGGGGAGAGAAGGAGGAGGTGGGTGAAATAGGGGAGGAGGGACGGCCAAAGAATCTTTAAGAGCAGCCCACGCTGATGGGCACGATCTCCACCCACTTGTTGCGCCGCACCTGGTGGCGTGTGGGTGGGAGGGGTGGAAATGCGGGAGAGAGGGGAGAAGGAGAGGGCGAATGAAGTATCTTTGGAGAAGGGGAGGGCAGCCCACGCTGATAGGCACGATCTCCACCCACTTGTTGCGCCGCACCTGGTGGCGTGTGGGTGGGAGGGGGAAGGAAGAGGGGAGAGAAGGAGGAGGTGGGTGAAATAGGGGAGGAGGGACGGCCAAAGAATCTTTAAGAGCAGCCCACGCTGATGGGCACGATCTCCACCCACTTGTTGCGCCGCACCTGGTGGCGTGTGGGTGGGAGGGGTGGAAATGCGGGAGAGAGGGGAGAAGGAGAGGGCCAATGAAGTGTCTTTGGAGAAGGGGAGGGCAGCCCAGGCTGATGGGCACGATCTCCGCCCACTTGTTGCGCCGCACCTGGTGGCGTGTGTGGGGAACGGGAGGAGGGAAGGGGGTGGGGGACGGCCAAAGAAATCCAAGGCAGCCCACGCTGATAGGCACGATCTCCGCCCACTTGTTGCGCCGCACCTGGTGGCGTGTGGGGGCGGAGGAGGAAAGGAGAGGGTCTCAGAAACTGTCCCACCACACAGGAAGTGAGGTGAGAGAAACGTTGGGGGTTGGTTGGAAACACCCTGGGGTGAACAGACAGAGTAACAGAATGTTACCTTGGGCAGGTCGAGAGCAGGGAGGGCGCGGTTGCGCGAGAGCAGGCGGACAGTGTTGCCCTTGCAAATTTTCGTTTCCGCAGTCCGCCTTGGGGAGAGAAAGATTCCGCCTTGGAGAGAGAAAGTTAAGCACACTCTACCTTGGGCAGGTCGAGAGCAGGGAGGGCGCGATTGCGAGAGCAGGCCGACAGTGTTGCCCTTGAGGGTCAATAATTTAGCAGTGCGCCTCGAGGGAGAGCAAGATTCCACCCAGAAAGACAGTCTACCTTGGGCAGGTCGAGCGCAGGGAGAGCGCGATTGCGCGAGAGCAGGCGCACGGTGTTGCCCTTGAGGGTCTCCTCCACCACCTCCACCACTCGGTCGATCAGTCTTACATTTGGTTGGAACTTGGAGCCCGTGCTGGGGAGAGAGAACTTGAAAGACAGCCTACCTTGGGCAGATCAAGCGCTGGGAGGGCGCGGTTGCGCGAGAGCAGGCGGACGGTGTTGCCCTTGAGAGTCTCCTCCACCACCTCCACCACACGGTCGATCTGCTGCACTCCCACCACACTCACGCCCTCTCCCTCCGCCACCCCACTGTCGCCCTGATATGGAGGGGTGTGGCGGCCGAGGATAGCAGGAAGCAGGAGCGAGGGAAGGGGGGAAGGCAGGGGAGGAAGCAGACGGGGAGGCAGGGAAGACGGGGCAGCATAGGGGAGGAGGAAGGACGGGAAGCAGGAAATGCGGAAGCAGCAAACGCAAGGGAGGTTCAAAACAGAGACATCCCTTCCGTCATGGGGCGATCTGCTGCACGCCCGCGCCCGCCACACTCACTCACTCTCTCCCTCAGCCCAGATACCCTGGTCGTTCCCCCACACACACCTGAGGCACGTGCTGTCTTGCTGCTACATGCGCCGCACCGCACACATGGGAGTGGAACGGAACGGAACGGAACGGAACGGAACGGAACGGAACGGAACGGAACGGAACGGAACAGAACGGAATGGCAAGGACAAGAGGACACACCTGGGGCACACAGCCTGCGAGCACGAGTCGTTTGCTCAGCTCCCTGCCCTTGCGGACGAGCGTATCCATGGCTGACTGCGACGGGTTCTTCACCGTGCACCTGGTGGGGTGGGAGAGGTCACGGGGAGCAGACGAAGGGGAGTTGTTACATGTTCTTGAGGTGCCTCGAGGGCAGCTCCCTGCCCTTGCGGATGAGTGTGTGTATCCATGGCTGACTGAGACGGGTTCTTCACCGTGCACCTGGTGGTGGGAGCGAGGGGACACAGAGGGCTGAGGCGGGAGGACCAAGAAACGGGAGGTCAATGCAGATAGGTGCCTCAAGGGCAGCTCCCGGCCCTTGCGGATGAGTGTGGCCATGGCTGACTGAGACGGGTTCTTCATTCACCGTGCACTTGGTGGTGTGGGAGAGGTCACGGGGAGCAGACGGGGGGGAGTTGTTACACGTTCTTGAGGTGCCTCGAGGGCAGCTCCCGGCCCTTGCGGATGAGTGTGGCCATGGCTGACTGAGACGGGTTCTTCACCGTGCACCTGGTGGGGTGGGGTGGGGAGAGGAGAGGAGAAGGGGAGCCAACGCGAATCAAAGATATGCCTAAGGTGCCTCAACAGCAGCTCCCTGCCCTTGCGGATGAGTGTGTGTATCCATGGCTGACTGAGACGGGTTCTTCATTCACAGTGCACTTGGTGGTGGGAAAGGCAGGGCACGGCACGGACAAGAGGGGTCAAGGGGAGAAGAACGTAGCCGGCAGGGGGGGAGAGAGTCAGGTTATGAGACGGGCCCTCACGTGGTTATGAAGGCAACTTCACCAGGCGGTACCTAAAAGCCCTCCCTTCCAACCCGCCCACCCGACTCGCACTCACGTGTTGATGATCCATAGGTCCGCCTCAGATGGCACCTCCACCAGCTGGTACCCAAACGCCGCCAATTGCCCTGCCATGTACTCACTGTCGCTCTGCAATGGGGTTGGAGGAGTGTGGGTAGTAGAGGAGGGGGAGGATAGGAGGTGGAAGAGGAGGAGGTAGGAGAGGAACATGGGAGAGGTAGGAAAGAAGGAGAGGAGGAGGAGAATATGATGAGGGAGGAGACGAGGGGGAAAGACAGGAAAGGAGAGGAGCAGGAAAGATAGGGAAGGAGAGATGGGTGAAAGATAGGGAAGGAGAGGAGGGGGAAGGACAGGAGGCGGGTGGTGGAAAATAAATTACAGTCTTAAGCTAAGGAAGAAACGGGTGCAGTCAGCAAAATAGCCATGTAATCATTGCATCCCTGCCAGCCAGCCATAACGGAGGGAGTAGGGCGAAAGGAATCGGGTTTCACGCTCAAGGTACAGGGTTTGTTTTAAGGCAAGGGCAGAGGAAATTCTGTTTCACCAGGCAACGACCAAATCTGCAGTTGTCTAGAAATCCGTGTGCTGTGCCGCTTCGCCTTTGTGTATTATGTCAAAAAACTCTTCTACAGAATACAGGAAGCCCTTGACACGAATCCAAAAGCCCTTAGAAGGGTTTTAAGAGAGGTACCTGGTTATGAGAGCAGCCAAACGTCTTGATATATATGGACTGCAGGCGAGGGAGAAAGGTAAAATCAAGGACCGAGCAAGGACCTTCCAAAATGAGAAGAAACACAATTGGATGGGTAAGCGAGTGGAGCAGTTGCAAAGGGGAAGTGCTAAAAGGCACAAAACCTATTCACAACGAACAAGGAGAGAAACTGGAATATGCAGCACCTTCACCAGGACTGCTCAAAAAGCCTACTAACAGACACAACCTCCCCCCCCCCCCCCCCCCCCCATAAGCAGGATTACAGGCTGACTTGCTGTAGGAAAAACGCGCGAGATTCATATTTATCTGACTACACAAGTTTCCATGTGTAATCATGGATACTGACTGGAATCAATCATTGGATACGACCGAACTTCATCCCCATTATAAGCATACCTGCGTTCCAGGAACAGAGGCCGGCGCACCCTCATCCTCGCAATGAATCTCATCACCATGCTCGGTCAACGCATTCGCTGCGCTATCCCCGATACGATCAGTTTCGCTGCCAGCTTCTGACTTCGAAACCCTCAATTCACTCTCCACGACCTCGCCAGCCTGCTTCAATTCATTGTCAGTGACACCGTTCACGTTATCGTTACCGTTACCGTTACCGTTACCGTTACCGTCAATGCGATCTGCTGATGACTTCTTCGGCCGTCGCCTAACAGCAGGCCGACCGCCTCCTACTTCTGGAAGGGGTGCTTGGGAATCAACGGTTGAGATCTCTCCATTCAAGCCGTTTACAGCGCTTTTGCCGCCTTGTTTACGACCTAATCCGTTTCGCCTGTCCTCGTCAAAAGGGTGGTTACCCGATGCCAGGTCCTCGATGTCTACCATCGCGACGCCTTCGACGCAGTTAGGAGCTTCGATCACACGATAGTCCTGAGGTGATCAAACTAACACTTGAACGAATTACAGAGCACATAAGGTGAGTGGCACTCCCAAGGTTCATTCTTCCAGTTTGATTTCTTGTGGATTTCAAACGAGGACATCGCTAGGCCAGTACACGGTTTTGAGTTGAAAATAACAGTTATGCTCCTGCTTTTTTGTTGCACATGGTTAATGCCAAGTTTTACTCAGGTCCATGAGAAAATAAAACCCGGAGATTTGCTGAATCATGTACCACCACGTAAAAAACAATCGCACTCACAAACCGTGTTATTTGATGTAGATATTGCATTATTTTCTTGTGGTGGTGTTTGAGATTAATGTTAGACCAAAGTAAGTAAAATACATAGTCTAGTGTTGAACTGAATCCATATTGACAAAAAGGCATTTCATCCAGTGACTTATCTCGGATATGCTACAATACCCTTTAGATTCGGCATTCCCCGGAATTGCAGCTAACGGCAGATCATAATAGACAGTCACAACAGCACCTAGACGAGTTGCGTGGCGATTGACGGTCGCAGCCGCTGAGATTGACAATCCGACCACTCTAGTAGAAAATCGGCTTTCAGCTTTTGTTCCTAGATTTTAGGTGGAAAAGGCTCACCAAGCAAGCTTTTCCTCTAGGCGTGATCCAGTCAGGTGGCAGTATGGCCGACAGCAATCCACCAGCTGATTTGACTCCCGGAGGTGGAAGCGGCGCGGAGGAGACGCGCAGCAAGAAATGGCTGCCGCTGGAATCGAACCCGGAAGTGATGAACGACGTGAGGCGATCAACGATGAGCGACGTTGGGCGATGAGCGACGTTGGGCGATGAGCGACGTGAGGCGATGAGCGACGTGAGGCGATGAGCGACGTGAGGCGATGAGCGACGTGAGGCGATGAGCGACGAGAGGCAGTGAGCGATGTGAGGCTGTGAGTCCTACCCCTTCACCTCAAGAGCTGTTCCGAGGAGCTTCTTAAGCTGTTTCTGCCCTATTACCACCCCCCGTGCCCACCAGTTTGTGCGCAAAGTGGGTTTCCCCCCCTCAGCGGGTTTCCACGATGTCTTTGGGCTGGAAGCGAATTGCCTCGCTATGCTGCTTTATTAGCAGTTCTGAGGAACCTCACAAGTATTTGCCTTCCCCTTACCCCCCCCTTCCCCATCGCCCTAACCCTCCGGGCGCACCAGTTTGTGCGCAAAGTGGGTTTCCCCCCCTCAGCGGGTTTCCACGACGTGTTTGGGCTGGACGCGGATCTGCTCGCCATGGTGCCGCTGCCTGTCTTCTGAGGCGCCACATAAGCTGTTCCCCCTTCCCCATTCCCCCAACCCCCCGTGCGCACCAGTTCGTGCGCAAGGTGGGCTTTCCGCCCTCAGCGGGTTTCCACGACGTCTTTGGGCTGGACGCGGATCTGCTCGCCATGGTGCCTCAGCCCGTGCTCGCACTGCTCTTCCTCTTCCTATTGCCGCCCGAGGTACTGCCGCCCGAGGTACTGCCGCCCGAGTACTGTCTCCCAAGGTACTGGCGCCCGAGTACTGTCTCCCGAGGTACTGCCTTGCCTTGTCACCTTCTGCTGTTTCTTCGCATCGCCGTGCCTGCGGCCGGCTTGCGTGCTCGCCCCATGCTCGCACTGCTCTTCCTCTTCCTGCTCCTGCCCGAGGTAGTGCCTGTTTAACACTCAAAGAGTATTTGTGCTCTGATGTCTTCAAATCTAAGACTGCAGCGTGGTTCCTCTTTTCCACTGGCTGCTAACAAACTCTCGGTTTGCTCAACGCTCGCCATGGTGCTGTACTGTGCTGCCACCTTCTTTGTTTTGCACTCTGATTTTGCACTCTGTGCAGGAACGGTCCAAAGAGCCAGAGCAGCAAGAGCAGGTTCCCGAGCAGGCGACTCCCTCTGCTGATGTAAGTCCTGCCGGCCTGCATCTACTGTTTTTTGTTTCCGATGTTGGAGCGGGTAGACCGTCGCGGTTTCTCCTCTCAGGCAACCCCCCCCCCCCCCCCCCCCCTGCTGGTGTAAGTCCGCCTGGCCTGCGCCTTTTTTTTTGTTTTTCTTTTTTTGCCAGTAGGATGTACGTTGGCTGAAAGAGTTGCATGCTCCTTGCCTGCGCTTAGTTTGGCTCCTCAGAACCCCAGCGTGCAACTCCTGCTGTGGACTTGAGGCCTAATTCGCCTCACTCATTCCCAATCGTAAACCATTCTCTCTCCCTACCAGCTCTCCATCTACTTCATGCCTTCCCTATATTGTTCCCACCTTTGTTTTTGGTTTTCTGCCTCCCTTTCCACCCCCCACCAGGCCGCACAGCCATTCTTTGTGCGGCAGACCATAGACAATGCGTGTGGCACGATCGCGCTCCTACATGCAATTGGCAACAACCAACACCAGCTCACCCTCGGTACCTACCTTTTCTTGCTTCCATCCCTTGCTTCACCTCGTCCTACCTTGCTTGGCCCTATCCCAGCATTGGTACCAATGGACAGTGGCACAGATTCTTGACAAATCTGATTTTGCAACTGTCTGCTCCAGCCTAGCTGCCTGCAGGCAGCTCCCTATGCCCAACAAAATAGGAGCCTTTCCTGCAGCAGTTCTGTTCTATATGGCTCCGGTATAATCTCTTACGGAAGCACAGCGATTTGAATCTTGCACCCTATGCTATGCTCCTGCCTGCCGCTCCCTGTGTTCAACAGAGAAGGGTTCATTCCTCCAGCAGTTCTTTGAAAAGACCAAAGACATGACACCTGAAGATGTGAGTGCGTTGCATTCGAGCATGTGAGTGCATGGCCTATGGGTATGCGAGTGTATAGCATGCTGAGTGCAAGGGCATGCACGTGCATGGCAGAAGGGCGTATGGCATTGCTCCTTGCTACATTCTCCTCTCTCTTCGTGTCCCTTTATCTCTCCTCTCATTTTCCCCTGCTTCTTCTTTCCTTAGCCCAGTTTTCAATTGCTCCCCTCTCCCCATCTCCCAGCGAGCAGCCTATCTGGAGGCAGACACATTGCTGGAGAAGGCACACACAGATGCAGCAGAGGCGGGCGACACTCGGGTGGGCCCCTTCAACAGTTTTAACGCGCCTCAGAATGTTCAACTTGCATCAATAAGCTGTGTCTATACCATGAAAGGCGGAAGGCAGGCACTGGGCCTTCCAGTCTGGGAGGGACATTGTAAAGCACGAATGCATGTCCTTTCAGCAGGAGTTTCCGTGTTTGCTTACGAGCCATCAGTCAACTCACAAGCCTCAACTCGCAGTGCCTCTCTTCATTTTTTCATTGCCATTCCCCGCCTCAACTTGTGCCGTGAATCCATTTCCCTGTTGCTCCTCTTCCCCGCCTCTTATTGCTCTTATTTTGCTCCTCTTCCCCGCCTCTCGTTGCTCCTTTTTTGCTCCTCTTCCCCGCCTCTCGTTGCTGGGCAGCCCCCAAGTCTCCATGAGTGTGTGGATCTGCATTTTGTTGCCTTGGTCACGTCTGGAGGTCCGTGTTTCACTCACACTTACGAGTCAAATTAGCATGAGCTTGCAATTTCAATTATTCCCTGTGTTGCAGCAGGATCAAATCAACCTGCATAGAAATTCCCTCCTTCCCTTCATTCGTTTCCATGAGCAGGCAGCCTTGATTAGCCGATTTACACGCCGTTGATTTCATCCGTCCCCATATTTCATCATTGCAATCCTCGTAGGTCGTCTGTATGAGCTAGACGGTCGCAAGCCAAAGCCCATTGACCATGGCCCTTCGTCGCCTGATACCCTACTGCAGGTGGGTTATGTTCCCATGATACCCTGCTGCAGGTGGGTTATGTTCCCATGATACCCTGCTGCAGGTGGGTTATGTTCCCATGATACCCTGGTGCGGGTTGGTTATGTTCCTATGATACCCTGCTGCAGGTGGGTTATGTTCCCATGATACCCTGCTGCAGGTGGGTTACTCCCGTGATACCCTGCTGCAGGTGGGTTATGTTCACATGATACCCTGGTGCGGGTTGGTTATGTTCCTAAGATACCCTGCTGCAGGTGGGTTATGTTCCCAGCTTCAGGTGGGTCATATTCCCATGATACCCTGCAACAGGTGAGTTTACCTTTCTCTGCATGTATGTTGTCTCCTTCTGATAGCCTGCTGCAGGTGGGTTAATTTTACTGCGTTCACACATGCGTTGTAACATCCTTCTTCCTTTGTTTCGTCCTGTTTGCACCCCCTTGCATGTGCCGTACGTGGTAGGATGCGGCGCGGGTGATGCAGCAGGTGATTGCGGCCAGTCCCAACTCATTGCAATTCAATATCATTGCCATGAGCCTTGTGCCGCCCGAATCCTGACTCGCAAAGTTTCGCTAGCAGCTTTATGGGTTTTTGTAGGCGCCGCCCGAACAATCCCTGCGAGTCCGAACAATCCGGTGTGGTTCAAAGTGTCATTGCCATGAGCCTTGTGCCACTGACCACTTCCTGAGTGAAGCTTTGCTAGGTAGGGAATATGTGATGTACGAAAATTGCAGCAAGCCCCAGCTTGTTGCAGTTCAATGCCATTGCCATGAGCCATGTGCCGCCCGAGTCCTAACTACCGCGTAAGTAAAGCTTCGCTAACAGCTTAGGGGTTTTCATATATACCTGAAAGAGCGTTACGAGTAACGAGCCTAGCTCATTGCCACGAGCATCGTGCAGCCCGACTCCTGGCTCCTTACTGAAGCTTCGGAGCTTAGTGCCTCAAATGATTCAGCGAGCCCCAACTTGTTGCAGTTCAACGTTAGTTCCATGTGCCATGTGTTGTTAGGCGTCATACAGTTTTACAGTTGGGCATTCGCCGAGAAAACATTGAAACCTCATGTCGGAGTGGCACATCAAGGTGAGCTCATGCTCAACATACGTAAGACGTTTGCCCATACTTGCCAGAGTAGGGTGACCAGGATGCTATGCCCCCTTCATGTAACAACGTGTAATATATACTGTGTTCATTATGCTTGCTTTACATGACAGGCGTCTTTGCTTTGCTTTGCTTTTCTTTTCCTGGTATGGTTTCTGTACAAAACCTGAAATATTTGCAGCTTTACAATTGAGATGCTGAAGGGTAATGTCTCGATATAATATCAGTTTGTAAAGGAAATTCGAGGGTCTGGTATCGAGGAGTGAAATATGCACCAATATGCTGACAGATTATGCACAAATCGATTCAGGACCGTTGGATTTGTGTGATCCCTGAACCATTAGTTGAGATGTTGCCTCATTGCCGACGCCCAACAAGATTCTTGCAGTTCGCAGCTCCCTTAGGCACCAAGATCCCGACAAATTCGTTGCGGAAGCACTACGGTTTGCGCTGGTCCCTGTGAGTGTCAGACTTTTGGGGGTTGAGTTTCCGCCATTTGCCGGGTCTTCCTGCCCAACCGTTGGGCTTGACGGAGGTGGCGACACTGACGACTGTCGCAAGCGTCAAATCCATTCAGAAGTAACCAGATCCAAGACCACACTTACGTCCCAAGCTGTGTTGTTTCCTGATTTACATACCATTGTGAACGTTGCGGTTTTCGTCGCCCCGCCTTTTTGCGCAACGAGCGCGACATAGCGGCCAGGCGCGATGCGCCAACCTTGTCGGCTAGCCTTGCCTCGCGGCACCCTGGGCGGAAATATTCCGCCGACAACCCAACCTCGAGATTGGTCAAAGTTCATCTGGCCTGTGCTGAGCTGAACGCTTCCTGCAGTACACAGAACGAGGTGAACACGGGTTCTAAACACCAGAACCTTTCCAGAAATCTACCAACCGAGCTGAACCATTTGAAGTTTCTAGACCAAGCCAGGAAAATTGCTCCGAACACATTGCAACCGATATAAACCGTTTCAAGTTTCGGAACCCAACCAAGCAGCGTTGCAGGCAGTCAGCGCAGCAACCACAGCCCAAACCACTCGCCTCGTCCCACCCTCCTCCTGCTCCCCATTTTCCATTCCTAAACGACAACTGCGGAGCCATGTCGGTAGTTAGCATGATTAGTAATTGTTTTTCCGTCAGAAACGACCTCTCGGCGTTCGGCATTGATTTCTTTGAAAGCGACGACTACTTTCGCCATCGTCTAAATCAGGCCGCTAGTTTCGTTTTCGCTGTCGACGATTTCTATTTCCTCGCCACGATACGTTATCGCGTCACTCGCTTGTTCGATCGATTTTCAGCGTTTCCGGCGGGGATGAGTCTTCTCCGTGCTGTACGGGTGAAGCGCTGAAGCAATGATATCTGGCGACTTATCCGACAAGGTTAGTCCTCCAATGCAACGATATTTCATCCTGGATTGTCTATCAATGTTCACGTTTCGCCTCCCTCTAAGTTGTATTCGATGCAGCACGTCATGAGCCTTGTCATTGTCACAAACATTCATTCTCCGTTATTGCTGCGTTGTCTACGTTCAGGTGCGGCTGGCGTTGCTATCGTCTGCGACGTGTACGGCCGTCGTCCGCGCGTCATCGCACGGCGAAATCGTCGTCTGCGCGTCGTACCAAGGCGAAATCGTTGGCCGCGCGTCGTACCGAAGGCGAATCGTCGTCCGTGCGTCGTCGCACGCCGAATCCGTCGTCTGCGCCTCAAAGCACGGCGAAATCGCTGTCCGCGCATCGTCGCACGGCGAAATCATCGTCCGCGCGTCGTCGCACGGCGGAATTGTTGTCCGCGCGTCGTACTAAGGCGGAATCGCCGTCCGCGCGTCGTACTAAGGCGCAATCGCCGTCCGCGCGTCGTACTAAGGCGGAATCGTCGTCCGCGCGTCGTACTAAGGCGGAATCGTCGTCCGCGCGTCGTACTAAGGCGGAATCGTCGTCCGCGCGTCGTACTAAGGCGGAATCGTCGTCCGCGCGTCGTACTAAGGCGGAATGGTCGCGAGGCTGTGCGTCCCGTCGGCGTGGGAACTTCTTCAACCGCCAGCTAAGTGCCTTCTCCTCCCTCCACTCTGTTGTTTTTTAATGTCGACCTTGCTCCATGCATCGCACTCTATTTTTCACTGCTCTTTGTCACACCCATTAGACCTCCCTTCCCCAAGGTAATTGGTATCTTTTTTCTTGGTACAGCCTCAGGTATTTGTATTAGTTTGGTTCAGCCGGTACGAGGTCTCTTGGGTGTGCCACTGCAGCAGTCCATTCATGCACGCATGTTGCTTGTGCTTGCTGCACTCTTCACTTTCACTTGTCTTGGCTTGTTTCCTCACTGCTCTCCCCACTCCTCTGCGCCCCCTTCACTTACCCCCCTCCTCCCTTCCTCTCTCTGTCCCAACCCGCCCCCTCCCGTCCCAGCAGGTCGCTCACACGGGAGTGGCAGTGGTGGGAGGGGAGGGGGGCAGCACTCCACTCGGCTGGGACTCCCTCCCTACCAGGTTCAGCTGGTATGAGGTCTCTTGGGTGTGCCACTGCAGCAGTACATTTCATGCACGCATGATTCTTGCAATCTACTCTGGTGTTGCCTCCTCCTCCTTGGTTTTGACTCCTCTCCCCTGGTGTCGCCTCCTCCTCCTTGGTTTTGACTCCTCTCCCCTGGTGTCGCCTCCTCCTCCTTGGTTTTGACTCCTCTCCCCTGGTGTCGCCTCCATCTCCTTGGTTTTGACTCCTCTCCCCTGGTGTCGCCTCCTCCTCCTTGGTTTTGACTCCTCTCCCCTGGTGTCGCCTCCTCCTCCTTGGTTTTGACTCCTCTCCCCTGGTGTCGCCTCCTCCTCCTTGGTTTTGACTCCTCTCCCCTGGTGTCGCCTCCTCCTCCTTGGTTTTGACTCCTCTCCCCCGGTGTCGCCTCCTCCTCCTTGGTTTTGACTCCTCTCCCCTGGTGTCGCCTCCTCCTCCTTGGTTTTGACTCCTCTCCCCTGGTGTCGCCTCCTCCTCCTTGGTTTTGACTCCTCTCCCCTGGTGTCGCCTCCATCTCCTTGGTTTTGACTCCTCTCCCCTGGTGTCGCCTCCTCCTCCTTGGTTTTGACTCCTCTCCCCTGGTGTCGCCTCCTCCTCCTTGGTTTTGACTCCTCTCCCCTGGTGTCGCCTCCTCCTCCTTGGTTTTGACTCCTCTCCCCTGGTGTCGCCTCCTCCTCCTTGGTTTTGACTCCTCTCCCCCGGTGTCGCCTCCTCCTCCTTGGTTTTGACTCCTCTCCCCTGGTGTCGCCTCCTCCTCCTTGGTTTTGACTCCTCTCCCCTGGTGTCGCCTCCTCCTCCTTGGTTTTGACTCCTCTCCCCTGGTGTCGCCTCCTCCTCGGTTTTGACTCCTCTCCCCTGGTGTCGCCTCCTCCTCCTTGGTTTTGACTCCTCTCCCCTGGTGTCGCCTCCTCCTCCTTGGTTTTGACTCCTCTCCCCTGGTGTCGCCTCCTCCTCCTTGGTTTTGACTCCTCTCCCCTGGTGTCGCCTCCTCCTCCGTGGTTTTGACTCCTCTCCCCTGGTGTCGCCTCCTGCTCCTTGGTTTTGAGTCCTCTCCCCTGGTGTCGCCTCCTCCTCCTTGGTTTTGACTCCTCTCCCCTGGTGTCGCCTCCTCCTCCTTGGTTTTGACTCCTCTCCCCTTGTGTCGCCTCCTCCTCCTTGGTTTTCACTCCAACCCCCTGGTGTCGCCTCCTCCTCCTTGGTTTTGACTCCTCTCCCCTGGTGTCGCCTCCTCCTCCTTGGTTTTGACTCCTCTCCCCCGGTGTCGCCTCCTCCTCCTTGGTTTTGACTCCTCTCCCCTGGTGTCGCCTCCTCCTCCTTGGTTTTGACTCCTCTCCCCCGGTGTCGCCTCCTCCTCCTTGGTTTTGACTCCTCTCCCCTGGTGTCGCCTCCTCCTCCTTGGTTTTGACTCCTCTCCCCTGGTGTCGCCTCCTCCTCCTTGGTTTTGACTCCTCTCCCCTGGTGTCGCCTCCTCCTCCTTGGTTTTGACTCCTCTCCCCTGGTGTCGCCTCTTCCACCCTTGTTTTGACTCCTCTCCCCTGGTGTTGCCTCCTCCTCCTTGGTTTTGACTCCTCTCCCCTGGTGTCGCCTCCTCCTCCTTGGTTTTGACTCCTCTCCCCTGGTGTCGCCTCCTCCTCCTTGGTTTTGACTCCTCTCCCCTGGTGTCGCCTCCTCCTCCTTGGTTTTGACTCCTCTCCCCTGGTGTCGCCTCCTCCTCCTTGGTTTTGACTCCTCTCCCCTGGTGTCGCCTCCTCCACCCTTGTTTTGACTCCTCTCCCCTGGTGTTGCCTCCTCCTCCTTGGTTTTGACTCCTCTCCCCTGGTGTCGCCTCCTCCTCCTTGGTTTTGACTCCTCTCCCCTGGTGTCGCCTCCTCCTCCTTGGTTTTGACTCCTCTCCCCTGGTGTCGCCTCCTCCTCCCTTGTTTTGACTCCTCTCCCCTGGTGTCGCCTCCTCCTCCTTGGTTTTGACTCCTCTCCCCTGGTGTCGCCTCCTCCTCCTTGGTTTTGACTCCTCTCCCCTGGTGTCGCCTCCTCCTCCTTGGTTTTGACTCCTCTCCCCCGGTGTCGCCTCCTCCTCCTTGGTTTTGACTCCTCTCCCCTGGTGTCGCCTCCTCCTCCTTGGTTTTGACTCCTCTCCCCCGGTGTCGCCTCCTCCTCCTTGGTTTTGACTCCTCTCCCCTGGTGTCGCCTCCTCCTCCTTGGTTTTGACTCCTCTCCCCTGGTGTCGCCTCCTCCTCCTTGGTTTTGACTCCTCTCCCCTGGTGTCGCCTCCTCCTCCTTGGTTTTGACTCCTCTCCCCCGGTGTCGCCTCCTCCTCCTTGGTTTTGACTCCTCTCCCCTGGTGTCGCCTCCTCCTCCTTGGTTTTGACTCCTCTCCCCCGGTGTCGCCTCCTCCTCCTTGGTTTTGACTCCTCTCCCCTGGTGTCGCCTCCTCCTCCTTGGTTTTGACTCCTCTCCCCTGGTGTCGCCTCCTCCTCCTTGGTTTTGACTCCTCTCCCCTGGTGTCGCCTCCTCCTCCTTGGTTTTGACTCCTCTCCCCTGGTGTCGCCTCCTCCACCCTTGTTTTGACTCCTCTCCCCTGGTGTTGCCTCCTCCTCCTTGGTTTTGACTCCTCTCCCCTGGTGTCGCCTCCTCCTCCTTGGTTTTGACTCCTCTCCCCTGGTGTCGCCTCCTCCTCCTTGGTTTTCACTCCAACCCCCTGGTGTCGCCTCCTCCTCCTTGGTTTTGACTCCTCTCCCCTGGTCGCCTCCTCCTCCCTTGTTTTGACTCCTCTCCCCTGGTGTCGCCTCCTCCACCCTTGTTTTGACTCCTCTCCCCTGGTGTTGCCTCCTCCTCCTTGGTTTTGACTCCTCTCCCCTGGTGTCGCCTCCTCCTCCTTGGGTTTGACTCCTCTCCCCTGGTGTCGCCTCCTCCTCCTTGGTTTTGACTCCTCTCCCCTGGTGTCGCCTCCTCCTCCCTTGTTTTGACTCCTCTCCCCTGGTGTCGCCTTCTCCTCCTTGGTTTTGACTCCTCTCCCCTGGTGTCGCCTCCTCCTCCTTGGTTTTGACTCCTCTCCCCTGGTGTCGCCTCCTCCTCCTTGGTTTTGACTCCTCTCCCTTGGTGTCGCCTCCTCCTCCTTGGTTTTGACTCCTCTCCCCTGGTGTCGCCTCCTCCTCCTTGGTTTTGACTCCTCTCCCCTGGTGTCGCCTCCTCCTCCTTGGTTTTGTCTCCTCTCCCCTGGTGTCGCCTCCTCCTCCTTGGTCTTGACTCCTCTCCCCTGGTGTCGCCTCCTCCTCCTTGGTTTTGAGTCCTCTCCCCTGGTGTCGCCTCCTCCTCCTTGGTTTTGACTCCTCTCCCCTGGTGTCGCCTACTCCTCCTTGGTTTTGACTCCTCTCCCCTGGTGTCGCCTCCTCCTCCTTGGTTTTGACTCCTCTCCCCTGGTGTCGCCTCCTCCTCCCTTGTTTTGACTCCTCTCCCCTGGTGTCGCCTCCTCCTCCTTGGTTTTGACTCCTCTCCCCTGGTGTCGCCTACTCCTCCTTGGTTTTGACTCCTCTTCCCTGGTGTCGCCTCCTCCTCCTTGGTTTTGACTCCTCTCCCCTGGTGTCGCCTCCTCCTCCTTGGTTTTGACTCCTCTCCCCTGGTGTCGCCTCTTCCTCCTTGGTTTTGACTCCTCTCCCCTGGTGTCGCCTCCTCCTCCTTGGTTTTGACTCCTCTCCCCTGGTGTCGCCTCCTCCTCCTTGGTTTTGACTCCTCTCCCCTGGTGTCGCCTCCTCCTCCCTTGTTTTGACTCCTCTCCCCTGGAGTCGCCTCCTCCTCCTTGGTTTTGACTCCTCTCCTCTGGTGTCGCCTCCTCCTCGGTTTTGACTCCTCTCCCCTGGTGTCGCCTCCTCCTACTTGGTTTTGACTCCTCTCCCCTGGTGTCGCCTCCTCCTCCTTGGTTTTGACTCCTCTCCCCTGGTGTCGCCTCCTCCTCCTTGGTTTTGACTCCTCTCCCCTGGTGTCGCCTCCTCCTCCGTGGTTTTGACTCCTCTCCCCTGGTGTCGCCTCCTGCTCCTTGGTTTTGAGTCCTCTCCCCTGGTGTCGCCTCCTCCTCCTTGGTTTTGACTCCTCTCCCCTGGTGTCGCCTCCTCCTCCTTGGTTTTGACTCCTCTCCCCTTGTGTCGCCTCCTCCTCCTTGGTTTTCACTCCAACCCCCTGGTGTCGCCTCCTCCTCCTTGGTTTTGACTCCTCTCCCCTGGTGTCGCCTCCTCCTCCTTGGTTTTGACTCCTCTCCCCCGGTGTCGCCTCCTCCTCCTTGGTTTTGACTCCTCTCCCCTGGTGTCGCCTCCTCCTCCTTGGTTTTGACTCCTCTCCCCTGGTGTCGCCTCCTCCTCCTTGGTTTTGACTCCTCTCCCCTGGTGTCGCCTCCTCCTCCTTGGTTTTGACTCCTCTCCCCTGGTGTCGCCTCCTCCTCCTTGGTTTTGACTCCTCTCCCCCGGTGTCGCCTCCTCCTCCTTGGTTTTGACTCCTCTCCCCTGGTGTCGCCTCCTCCTCCTTGGTTTTGACTCCTCTCCCCCGGTGTCGCCTCCTCCTCCTTGGTTTTGACTCCTCTCCCCTGGTGTCGCCTCCTCCTCCTTGGTTTTGACTCCTCTCCCCTGGTGTCGCCTCCTCCTCCTTGGTTTTGACTCCTCTCCCCTGGTGTCGCCTCCTCCTCCTTGGTTTTGACTCCTCTCCCCTGGTGTCGCCTCTTCCACCCTTGTTTTGACTCCTCTCCCCTGGTGTTGCCTCCTCCTCCTTGGTTTTGACTCCTCTCCCCTGGTGTCGCCTCCTCCTCCTTGGTTTTGACTCCTCTCCCCTGGTGTCGCCTCCTCCTCCTTGGTTTTGACTCCTCTCCCCTGGTGTCGCCTCCTCCTCCTTGGTTTTGACTCCTCTCCCCTGGTGTCGCCTCCTCCTCCTTGGTTTTGACTCCTCTCCCCTGGTGTCGCCTCCTCCACCCTTGTTTTGACTCCTCTCCCCTGGTGTTGCCTCCTCCTCCTTGGTTTTGACTCCTCTCCCCTGGTGTCGCCTCCTCCTCCTTGGTTTTGACTCCTCTCCCCTGGTGTCGCCTCCTCCTCCTTGGTTTTGACTCCTCTCCCCTGGTGTCGCCTCCTCCTCCCTTGTTTTGACTCCTCTCCCCTGGTGTCGCCTCCTCCTCCTTGGTTTTGACTCCTCTCCCCTGGTGTCGCCTCCTCCTCCTTGGTTTTGACTCCTCTCCCCTGGTGTCGCCTCCTCCTCCTTGGTTTTGACTCCTCTCCCCCGGTGTCGCCTCCTCCTCCTTGGTTTTGACTCCTCTCCCCTGGTGTCGCCTCCTCCTCCTTGGTTTTGACTCCTCTCCCCCGGTGTCGCCTCCTCCTCCTTGGTTTTGACTCCTCTCCCCTGGTGTCGCCTCCTCCTCCTTGGTTTTGACTCCTCTCCCCTGGTGTCGCCTCCTCCTCCTTGGTTTTGACTCCTCTCCCCTGGTGTCGCCTCCTCCTCCTTGGTTTTGACTCCTCTCCCCCGGTGTCGCCTCCTCCTCCTTGGTTTTGACTCCTCTCCCCTGGTGTCGCCTCCTCCTCCTTGGTTTTGACTCCTCTCCCCCGGTGTCGCCTCCTCCTCCTTGGTTTTGACTCCTCTCCCCTGGTGTCGCCTCCTCCTCCTTGGTTTTGACTCCTCTCCCCTGGTGTCGCCTCCTCCTCCTTGGTTTTGACTCCTCTCCCCTGGTGTCGCCTCCTCCTCCTTGGTTTTGACTCCTCTCCCCTGGTGTCGCCTCCTCCACCCTTGTTTTGACTCCTCTCCCCTGGTGTTGCCTCCTCCTCCTTGGTTTTGACTCCTCTCCCCTGGTGTCGCCTCCTCCTCCTTGGTTTTGACTCCTCTCCCCTGGTGTCGCCTCCTCCTCCTTGGTTTTCACTCCAACCCCCTGGTGTCGCCTCCTCCTCCTTGGTTTTGACTCCTCTCCCCTGGTGTCGCCTCCTCCTCCCTTGTTTTGACTCCTCTCCCCTGGTGTCGCCTCCTCCACCCTTGTTTTGACTCCTCTCCCCTGGTGTTGCCTCCTCCTCCTTGGTTTTGACTCCTCTCCCCTGGTGTCGCCTCCTCCTCCTTGGGTTTGACTCCTCTCCCCTGGTGTCGCCTCCTCCTCCTTGGTTTTGACTCCTCTCCCCTGGTGTCGCCTCCTCCTCCCTTGTTTTGACTCCTCTCCCCTGGTGTCGCCTTCTCCTCCTTGGTTTTGACTCCTCTCCCCTGGTGTCGCCTCCTCCTCCTTGGTTTTGACTCCTCTCCCCTGGTGTCGCCTCCTCCTCCTTGGTTTTGACTCCTCTCCCTTGGTGTCGCCTCCTCCTCCTTGGTTTTGACTCCTCTCCCCTGGTGTCGCCTCCTCCTCCTTGGTTTTGACTCCTCTCCCCTGGTGTCGCCTCCTCCTCCTTGGTTTTGTCTCCTCTCCCCTGGTGTCGCCTCCTCCTCCTTGGTTTTGACTCCTCTCCCCTGGTGTCGCCTCCTCCTCCTTGGTTTTGAGTCCTCTCCCCTGGTGTCGCCTCCTCCTCCTTGGTTTTGACTCCTCTCCCCTGGTGTCGCCTACTCCTCCTTGGTTTTGACTCCTCTCCCCTGGTGTCGCCTCCTCCTCCTTGGTTTTGACTCCTCTCCCCTGGTGTCGCCTCCTCCTCCTTGGTTTTGACTCCTCTTCCCTGGTGTCGCCTCCTCCTCCTTGGTTTTGACTCCTCTCCCCTGGTGTCGCCTCCTCCTCCTTGGTTTTGACTCCTCTCCCCTGGTGTCGCCTCTTCCTCCTTGGTTTTGACTCCTCTCCCCTGGTGTCGCCTACTCCTCCTTGGTTTTGACTCCTCTTCCCTGGTGTCGCCTCCTCCTCCCTTGTTTTGACTCCTCTCCCCTGGTGTCGCCTCCTCCTCCTTGGTTTTGACTCCTCTCCCCTGGTGTCGCCTACTCCTCCTTGGTTTTGACTCCTCTTCCCTGGTGTCGCCTCCTCCTCCTTGGTTTTGACTCCTCTCCCCTGGTGTCGCCTCCTCCTCCTTGGTTTTGACTCCTCTCCCCTGGTGTCGCCTCTTCCTCCTTGGTTTTGACTCCTCTCCCCTGGTGTCGCCTCCTCCTCCTTGGTTTTGACTCCTCTCCCCTGGTGTCGCCTCCTCCTCCTTGGTTTTGACTCCTCTCCCCTGGTGTCGCCTCCTCCTCCCTTGTTTTGACTCCTCTCCCCTGGAGTCGCCTCCTCCTCCTTGGTTTTGACTCCTCTCCCCTGGTGTCGCCTCCTCCTTGGTTTTGACTCCTCTCCCCTGGTGTCGCCTCCTCCTCCTTGGTTTTGACTCTTCTCCCCTGGTGTCGCCTCCTCCTCCTTGGTTTTGACTCCTCTCCCCTGGTGTCGCCTCCTCCTCCTTGGTTTTGACTCCTCTCCCCTGGTGTCGCCTCCTCCTCCTTGGTTTTGACTCCTCTCCCCTGGTGTCGCCTCCTCCTCCTTGGTTTTGACTCCTCTCCCCTGGTGTCGCCTCCTCCTCCTTGGCTTTGACTCCTCTCCCCTGGTGTCGCCTCCTCCTCCTTGGTTTTGACTCCTCTCCCCTGGTGTCGCCTCCTCCTCCTTGGTTTTGACTCCTCTCCCCTGGTGTCGCCTCCTCCTCCTTGGTTTTGACTCCTCTCCCCTGGTGTCGCCTCCTCCTCCTTGGTTTTGACTCCTCTCCCCTGGTGTCGCCTCCTCCTCCTTGGTTTTGACTCCTCTCCCCTGGTGTCGCCTCCTCCTCCTTGGCTTTGACTCCTCTCCCCTGGTGTCGCCTCCTCCTCCTTGGTTTTGACTCCTCTCCCCTGGTGTCGCCTCCTCCTCCTTGGTTTTGACTCCTCTCCCCTGGTGTCGCCTCCTCCTCCTTGGTTTTGACTCCTCTCCCCTGGTGTCGCCTCCTCCTCCTTGGTTTTGACTCCTCTCCCCTGGTGTCGCCTCCTCCTCCTTGGTTTTGACTCCTCTCCCCTGGTGTCGCCTCCTCCTCCTTGGTTTTGACTCCTCTCCCCTGGTGTCGCCTCCTCCTCCTTGGTTTTGACTCCTCTCCCCTGGTGTCGCCTCCTCCTCCTTGGTTTTGACTCCTCTCCCCTGGTGTCGCCTCCTCCTCCTTGGTTTTGACTCCTCTCCCCTGGTGTCGCCTCCTCCTCCTTGGTTTTGACTCCTCTCCCCTGGTGTCGCCTCCTCCTCCTTGGTTTTGACTCCTCTCCCCTGGTGTCGCCTCCTCCTCCTTGTTTTTGACTCCTCTCCCCTGGTGTCGCCTCCTCCTTGGTTTTGACTCCTCTCCCCTGGTGTCGCCTCCTCCTCCTTGGTTTTGACTCCTCCCGACGGGGGTGTCGCCTCCTCCTCCTTGTTTTTGACTCCTCTCCCCTGGTGTCGCCTCCTCCTCCTTGGTTTTGACTCCTCTCCCCTGGTGTTGCCTCCTCCTCCTTGGTTTTGACTCCTCTCCCCTGGTGTCGCCTCCTCCTCCTTGGTTTTGACTCCTCTCCCCTGGTGTCGCCTCCTCCTCCTTGGTTTTGACTCCTCTCCCCTGGTGTCGCCTCCTCCTCCTTGGTGTTGCCTCCTCCTCCCGGCCTCAGCATCATGGCGCTCTGCACGGCTGTGGTAGGTACAGGTAAGTACGCATCGGGGTGAAGTGTGGGGAGGGAGGGTTGGGAGCATGGGAGCAAGCGGGGAGTTCACTGCCTTAGGGGCAGCATCGTCTTGGGTTGTAACTTGTGAGTTGGGGTGTGGTGGGTGGAATCTATGCGGCACGGCACTCGGTGCTCAAGTAACTAACCTGCCGTTAAGGCTTAATGGGCACCGTCAGAGCCGACCGGCCGGCGGCTCTGGTTCGCGTCAGCTCTAGCTACGTCAGGGGTGGGATTTGAGTCTTGGGCTGGAAGCGATTTTCCACTACCACACTTCATCCCACAAGGCTCAGCCTCAGGGGTTGCTGTTTCCGTAAGAAAGTGGGCTCTCTGCTGCTCCTACTGCTGGCAGGTAATGGTGGGGATGGGCTGGGTGGTTGAGTGAGGGAGGAGAAGGGGGCTGAAACCCCTTGGGTGGGTGAGTGGAAGGGAAAGGGGCCTGAAACCCCTTGGGTGGGTGAGTGGAAGGGGAAGGGCCCTGAAACCCCTTGGGTGGGTGAGTGGAAGGGAAAGGGGTTTGAAACCCCTTGGGTGGGTGAGTGGAATGCAAAGGGGCCTGAAACCCCTTGGGTGGGTGAGTGGAAGGGAAAGGGGCCTGAAACCCCTTGGGTGGGTGCGTGGAAGGGAAAGGGGCCTGAAACCCCTTGGGTGGGTGAGTGGAAGGGAAAGGGGCCTGAAACCCCTTGGGTGGGTGAGTGGAAGGGGAAGGGCCCTGAAACCCCTTGGGTGGGTGAGTGGAAGGGAAAGGGGCCTGAAACCCCTTGGGTGGGTGAGTGGAAGGGAAAGGGGCCTGAAACCCCTTGGGTGGGTGAGTGGAAGGGTAAGGGGCCTGAAACCCCTTGGGTGGGTGAGTGGAAGGGAAAGGAGTTTGAAATTTCTTGGGTGGGTGAGTGGAAGGGAAAGGGGCCTGAAACCCCTTGGGTGGGTGAGTGGAAGGGAAAGGGGCCTGAAACCCCTTCGGAGGGTGAGTGGAAGGGAAAGGCTCCTGAAACCCCTTGTGTGGGTGAGTGGAAGGGAAAGGGGCCTGAAACCCCTTGGGTGGGTGAGTGGAAGGGAAAGGGGCCTGAAACCCCTTGGGTGGGTGAGTGGAAGGGAAAGGGGCCTGAAACCCCTTGGGTGGGTGAGTGGAAGGGAAAGGGGCCTGAAACCCCTTGGGTGGGTGAGTGGAAGGGAAAGGGGCCTGAAACCCCTTGGGTGGGTGAGTGGAAGGGAAAGGGGCCTGAAACCCCTTGGGTGGGTGATTGGAAGGGAAAGGGGCCTGAAACCCCTTGGGTGGGTGAGTGGAAGGGAAAGGGGCCTGAAACCCCTTGGGTGGGTGAGTGGAAGGGAAAGGGGCCTGAAACCCCTTGGGTGGGTGAGTGGAAGGGAAAGGGGCCTGAAACCCCTTGGGTGGGTGAGTGGAAGGGAAAGGGGCCTGAAACCCCTTGGGTGGGTGAGTGGAAGGGAAAGGGGCCTGAAACCCCTCGGGTGTGGGTGAGTGGAAGGGAAAAGGGGTTGAAACCCCATGGGTGGGTGAGTGGGAAGGGAAAGGGGTTGAAACCCCATGGGTGGGTGAGTGGAAGGGAAAGGGGTTGAAACCCCATGGGTGGGTGAGCAGGAAGGGAATGGGGTTGAAACCCCATGGGTGGGTGAGTGGGAAGGGAAAGGGGTTGAAACCCCATGGGTGGGTGAGTGGAAGGGAAAGGGGCCTGAAACCCCTTGGGTGGGTGAGTGGAAGGGAAAGGGGCCTGAAACCCCTTGGGTGGGTGAGTGGAAGGGAAAGGGGCCTGAAACCCCTTGGGTGGGTGAGTGGAAGGGAAAGGGGCCTGAAACCCCTTGGGTGGGTGAGTGGAAGGGAAAGGGGCCTGAAACCCCTTGGGTGGGTGAGTGGAAGGGAAAGGGGCCTGAAACCCCTTGGGTGGGTGAGTGGAAGGGAAAGGGGCCTGAAACCCCTTGGGTGGGTGAGTGGAAGGGAAAGGGGCCTGAAACCCCGTGGGTGGGTGAGCAGGAAGGGAATGGGGTTGAAACCCCATGGGTGGGTGAGTGGGAAGGGAAAGGGGTTGAAACCCCATGGGTGGGTGAGTGGAAGGGAAAGGGGCCTGAAACCCCTTGGGTGGGTGAGTGGAAGGGAAAGGGGCCTGAAACCCCTTGGGTGGGTGAGTGGAAGGGAAAGGGGCCTGAAACCCCTTGGGTGGGTGAGTGGAAGGGAAAGGGGCCTGAAACCCCTTGGGTGGGTGAGTGGAAGGGAAAGGGGCCTGAAACCCCTTGGGTGGGTGAGTGGAAGGGAAAGGGGCCTGAAACCCCTTGGGTGGGTGAGTGGAAGGGAAAGGGGCCTGAAACCCCTTGGGTGGGTGAGTGGAAGGGAAAGGGGCCTGAAACCCCTTGGGTGGGTGAGTGGAAGGGAAAGGGGCCTGAAACCCCTTGGGTGTGGGTGAGTGGAAGGGAAAAGGGGTTGAAACCCCATGGGTGGGTGAGTGGGAAGGGAAAGGGGTTGAAACCCCATGGGTGGGTGAGTGGAAGGGAAAGGGGTTGAAACCCCATGGGTGGGTGAGCAGGAAGGGAATGGGGTTGAAACCCCATGGGTGGGTGAGTGGGAAGGGAAAGGGGTTGAAACCCCATGGGTGGGTGAGTGGAAGGGAAAGGGGCCTGAAACCCCTTGGGTGGGTGAGTGGAAGGGAAAGGGGCCTGAAACCCCTTGGGTGGGTGAGTGGAAGGGGAAGGGCCCTGAAACCCCTTGGGTGGGTGAGTGGAAGGGAAAGGGGCCTGAAACCCCTTGGGTGGGTCAGTGGAAGGGAAAGGGGCCTGAAACCCCTTGGGTGGGTGAGTGGAAGGGAAAGGGGCCTGAAACCCCTTGGGTGGGTGAGTGGAAGGGAAAGGGGCCTGAAACCCGTTGGGTGGGTGAGTGGAAGGGAAAGGGGCTGAGTCCCCTTGGGTGGGTGAGTGGAAGGGAAAGGGGCTGAGTCCCCTTGGGTGGGTGAGTGCAAGTGAAAGGGGCTGAGTCCCCTTGGGTGGGTGAGTGCAAGTGAAAGGGGCTGAGTCCCCTTGGGTGGGTGAGTGCAAGTGAAAGGGGCTGAGTCCCCTTGGGTGGGTGAGTGGAAGGGAAAGGGGCCTGAAACCCCTTGGGTGGGTGAGTGGAAGGGAAAGGGGCCTGAAACCCCTTGGGTGGGTGATTGGAAGGGAAAGGGGCCTGAAACCCCTTGGGTGGGTGAGTGGAAGGAAAAGGGGCCTGAAACCCCTTGGGTGGGTGAGTGGAAGGGAAAGGGGCCTGAAACCCCTTGGGTGGGTGAGTGGAAGGGAAAGGGGCCTGAAACCCCTTGGGTGGGTGAGTGGAAGGGAAAGGGGCCTGAAACCCCTTGGGTGGGTGAATGGAAGGGAAAGGGGCCTGAAACCCCTTGGGTGGGTGAGTGGAAGGGAAAGGGGCCTGAAACCCCTTGGGTGTGGGTGAGTGGAAGGGAAAAGGGGTTGAAACCCCATGGGTGGGTGAGTGGGAAGGGAAAGGGGTTGAAACCCCATGGGTGGGTGAGTGGAAGGGAAAGGGGTTGAAACCCCATGGGTGAGTGAGCAGGAAGGGAATGGGGTTGAAACCCCATGGGTGGGTGAGTGGGAAGGGAAAGGGGTTGAAACCCCATGGGTGGGTGAGTGGGAAGGGAATGGGGTTGAAACCCCATGGGTGGGTGAGTGGAAGGGAAAGGGGCCTGAAACCCCTTGGGTGGGTGAGTGGAAGGGGAAGGGCCCTGAAACCCCTTGGGTGGGTGAGTGGAAGGGAAAGGGGCCTGAAACCCCTTGGGTGGGTCAGTGGAAGGGAAAGGGGCCTGAAACCCCTTGGGTGGGTGAGTGGAAGGGAAAGGGGCCTGAAACCCCTTGGGTGGGTGAGTGGAAGGGAAAGGGGCCTGAAACCCGTTGGGTGGGTGAGTGGAAGGGAAAGGGGCTGAGTCCCCTTGGGTGGGTGAGTGGAAGGGAAAGGGGCTGAGTCCCCTTGGGTGGGTGAGTGCAAGTGAAAGGGGCTGAGTCCCCTTGGGTGGGTGAGTGCAAGTGAAAGGGGCTGAGTCCCCTTGGGTGGGTGAGTGCAAGTGAAAGGGGCTGAGTCCCCTTGGGTGGGTGAGTGGGAATGGAAAGGGGTTGAAACCCCTTGGGTGGGTGAGTGGGAAGGGAAAGGGGCCTGAAACCCCTTGGGTGGGTGAGTGGAAGGGAAAGGGGCCTGAAACCCCTTGGGTGGGTGAGTGGAAGGGAAAGGGGTTGAAACCCCATGGGTGGGTGAGTGGGAAGGGAATGGGGTTGAAACCCCATGGGTGGGTGAGTGGGAAGGGAATGGGGTTGAAACCCCTTGTGTGGGTGAGTGGAAGGGAAAGGGGTTGAAAGCCCATGGGTGGGTGAGTGGGAAGGGAAAGGGGTTGAAACCCCATGGGTGGGTGAGTGGAAGGGAAAGGGGTTGAAACCCCATGGGTGGGTGAGTGGGAAGGGAATGGGGTTGAAACCCCATGGGTGGGTGAGTGGAAGGGAAAGGGGCCTGAAACCCCTTGGGTGGGTGAGTGGGAATGGAAAGGGGCCTGAAACCCCTTGGGTGGGTGAGTGGAAGGGAAAAGGGCCTGAAACCCCTTGGGTGGGTGAGTGGAAGGGAAAGGGGCCTGAAACCCCTTGGGTGGGTGAGTGGAAGGGAAAGGAGTTTGAAATTTCTTGGGTGGGTGAGTGGAAGGGAAAGGGGCCTGAAACCCCTTGGGTGGGTGAGTGGAAGGGGAAGGGCCCTGAAACCCCTTGGGTGGGTGAGTGGAAGGGAAAGGGGCCTGAAACCCCTTGGGTGGGTGAGTGGAAGGGAAAGGAGTTTGAAATTTCTTGGGTGGGTGAGTGGAAGGGAAAGGGGCCTGAAACCCCTTGGTTGGGTGAGTGGAAGGGAAAGGGGCCTGAAACCCCTTGGGTGGGTGAGTGGAAGGGAAAGGGGCCTGAAACCCCTTGGGTGGGTGAGTGGAAGGGAAAGGGGCCTGAAACCCCTTGGGTGGGTGAGTGGAAGGGAAAGGGGCCTGAAACCCCTTGGGTGGGTGAGTGGAAGGGAAAGGGGCCTGAAACCCCTTGGGTGGGTGAGTGGAAGGGAAAGG